TTCTACTCAGCCTGGCAAGGGGAAGGCAGCCTTACAGTGTTTGCACTGGTGAATTTCAGCGCTGGGTGAGCTGAGAGCCACCCACAAATCACCCTAGGACTTACCAATGCACTGTCCAGTTTTACAGAGGAACGAGCCTAGGTCCAATAAGTGGACAGACCCTATATTATACATTTTGCCCTCAAGTGTAGCATGAGCCATGGTGAAAAGTTAATGACTGGGAAAAAACTGGTGGGACTTGACCCAGTGTTTGGTTTTTAATATATTTTAAACCTATTGTATTTTTTAAGAGTTTCTTGTTTTTTATGTATAATCCACATACCATACAATTCAATGGCTTAAACATATTAAATAGTTGTGCAATCATCACCACAATCTATTTTAGGACATTTTCTTAATTTTTGTCCCATTATTATTGGTTCCCCTTTACTCCCAGCCTCTCCTGCTATAACCCTAAGAAAATTTTCACCTAATTACTGTCCCTCTAGAATAACCCGTCCTGGATTTCACATAAAGACATCCTTACCCAACAACAACAACATGAAACACAGAAAAGCCTCCACCTATGAGAATGCCGAAGATAAAAGAAACTAGAACAAATTAATAATAGGTCGAAAGGGAAAACAAGGGATAATATGTTCTATTTTAACCTAACTATATTTGCAATAAACCACTTTCCAGTGCACTGTCTGAGGGTAAGAATGTTCACAAAATTGGTCACTGAGTTTTAAACCAAGTGGGGGCTTTGTAAATGGATCTTGAGCTATCACTGCCATCTGTAGCCTTCTGCAAGCTGGGTGCTCAGAATTCAAGCTCTAATACAATGCCCCCATCTGATCTTGGATTTTATTATTCACAGTCATTTAATCACATGGGCTGTGTGCTCCTTCCTTGTGGAGTTTGCTGATACCTCACTTAAATGGCTGCTTGTTTGAAAACAAAGCGTTAAGACCCCAGATACTGTTCTTTCTGTTTTCTTCACCGCATTTTGCTGTTGCACCCATATCTTCAGTGATAACTTCATGAGCATTGAGCATGGCCACACCATAAGAACTAATTGTTATACCAAGGGCTCAAGTAGAAAGCAAATGTTTTGAGAATGATGATGGCAACAAATGTACAAATGTGCTTGACA